TAGTGGTGGGTGAGACAATATGAGAGTAGTGAAGATAATGGAGACATAGCAGGTTGTGCTCACCTGCAGTAGTTCCCTTTGCCGACAAGTTGAGGTAATCACAGGTTGTGGGAGATGAAAAAATGAGAACTTTAAAAATAGAATTCCACGGAATTTTTCAGATGACGGAGAAGAAAATGACAGTAGAACAAGGAGTCACCTGGAGAGAACCAACAATGTACCCATGATGCCAATGATGGACGCAACACGAATTCCACAGGGAAGTGGTTTTTCAAACAAGTGACAGTTAAAGGGAGACAAGTAGAGCAGTGGCCGAGGGTTTGAGGCGAGCAAAATATTCAGACTCAAATCAATTGGGAGGGGGTTGAGTAGGTAATTTCACAATTCTAATTTTGTGCTTTGAGGTCCTTGGGGACTTAAGAAGCATTTTGGGATTTTCAGGGACTTTTTAGAATTAATTGTCTTCTGTGAGACTTACGTGTGATTTTCCCTTTTTTTATATCAATAAAATTGACTTTTTTTCTGCCAAAAAAATTTTCATTCCTTAACTTAAAAAAAAAAAAAAAAATTTTAGCCCTTTGACCTTAACTTTAAATGATGATTTTGTAACAATCATAATTGTTTTGAAAAGTTAAACTTAATATGTCAGTATTTAAAAATATTTTGTTAACACTTGAGATTTTGATATCATTATTTTTTTTAAGTAACAGTTTTAGGATTAAAAGACTAGAAATATACTTTTTAAAGTTAAGAGATCAAATTGAAATTTTTTATAAAGTTAAAAGACCTAATACTTTAGCCTTTAGTTAGTGATGTAAATATAGGTTTAATTCAAAAATCTAAATGACTATTAAAATAAAATTATTATAGTAATTTTTTATCATAGAATATTATTGTTTATAAAATAATATTAACTACTGTTCTATTTAATAATATTATATCTTATATTTCTAGAAGAATATTATTAGTATTTATAGAATAAAAAAATTTAGAGACTTGATTAAAAATTAGGTGAAACTATAAGGACTTCATAATTAAAAAAAATTATAAGGACCTAATTAAATACAAGTGACAGAATAAAGACCTAATAAAAATAAAAACAAAACTATGAGAACCTGATTCAAAATTGGTTGAAACTATAAAAACTTGCAGATTAATTATTCTAAAAATTCTAATAACAAGTAGCATGAAACTTGTCAATTTTTGTAATAAATTTGTCATTTGCTAGTTACCGGTTTTTGATAATTACATCCTTTTGTTGAGACTGCACAGTAATTTTTCCTAAAAAATTTTACGGAAAAAGGAAAAAAAGTTTTATACCTTTGATGTTGTTTGAAGGTTTGTTTTGTAACGGTCAAGAAAAACCACCAGGGATAATTTGAGAATGTGGCTACTTTAAAAAAATAAATGGTCAAACCCCTTTTTCTTTTTTCTTTTCTTTGCAACGATATAATAAAGCTTATAGACTTTAATTTGAAAGTGATGGAGATTCTTAGATTTAAGTTGGGTATATATTTAGATTTATTAGTCATAGGGTCTAATTGGAACCAAATGCTTCATTTCTCACAAAGAACACACACTTTAATGACATCAAAAGTTGCAGAGATGTTATAAAGGGAAAATTGCAATTCGGTCCCATCTAAGAGAATTAAATACAGAAAGTCCCTTAAAATCATGAAATTATTATGAAGTCTCAGGGGACCTTTTTGCAATAAATTTTTTTTGTTTAATTACTAAATTACCCTTCTTTTTTTAAGTTTGTATTGACAATTAAAAAAGCAGTGGTTGACAACTTAGAATGCAAGGATTGACAACTATTGCAGTTGGTTTGACAACGTATTTTCTCAGCATATCACAAAATATAACACATGAGTTGTTAAACCAGTCGTGATAGTTGTCAATTATTATACCCTAAGTTGCCAACTACTGCTCTTTCAGTTGTCAATGCAAACTTAAAAAAAAGGATAATTTGGCAATTAAAACAAACAAAAATTTATTGCAAAAAGTTCCCTTGGGACTTTAGAATAATTTCATGATTTCAAGAGACCCTTTTGTATTTAATTTCCTTGGGTGGGACCTAATTGCAATTCTCCCTAATATAAATTGTGTAACCTCTCATGTTTTAACCTTAGTTATTTATAATTGATTCATGCATTTTAAGAAAAGTTATTTTTATTGAGGTTAACATGCAAATTTCTCTGAAAGTTTTACTCAAGGGCGTTGGATATTTGAAATTTTTTTGGGTTCAATATTGTTCCAAAAGTTTCCCAATAGTAGCAATTTCACCCACTCATTGTCCAAGTTAAATTTGACTGTTAGTTGACCAAATATGCTGAGTTAGTAGGTTTACATGTCATCTACATCATTTTTTAGATAAAAGTACAAATCTGTCCAAACATTTTTCATTCAATAGAGTCGAGTATGCAGAATTTTCTTTTTAGATTCAATATTGGCCCCAAAATTTTCAGATCATATAGCGGTGTCACCCCAACCATTATTCAGCTCAAGTCTGGTTGTTTGCTGACCAAATATGTTGAATTAGCTGATTCGTGTGTAATCTATTTCATTTCTGGTACAAGTCAAATTGATAAATAAGGAAAAACAAATTCCAGAAAATGCATCCTGCAGCCTGAAGGATTGGAAAATCGAAGAGGTAGAAGCAGAGCTTGTACGACAAAAAAAATCAAGGAGTTGTCCGCCTATTTCGGCGTCACTAGATTATGATAATTGAGGGGTGTTGATGGCCTTGTACTCATCAATCTCCCTCAGTGTATCCTAATCCAATAATCGAATCTTCTTCTTTGTTACTCTTTGGCAAACATGAGTTCTAATCCTCCTCCATCTGCTATTGTTTCTTCTTCTTATACATTGTTCACTCTACCAGTATTTGGTTAAGTAATAATCCAACAGTCAAACTTAACCTAGATAAAAGTTAGGGTATCGTTGCCACAATTTGAAAACCTCCAGGAGATATTGAAATTAAATTAAAGGGTTAAGGTGCAATTTTAACAACAAAGTTTACCTGAAAGAGCACTGGGCACTATAAAGTTTATTTGGGTGCAAAAATATACATGAAGTTGTCAAAAGGGAGCATCTGGCACCATGCCGTTAATGTCCGTCAGTTTACCGTTAGAGGGGCCTAGAAAGTCAGTTTTAAGGTGCATTTTTAACAACAAAGTTTGCATCAAGGGGCATTAGGCACCATGAAATTTACTTGGGTGTAAAAATATACATGAATTTTGTAAAAGGAAAAAAATAACAAAATTCTTCAACCTCCATAAACATCCATTAATTTTATTCTTTTTGGTCTCACCAAATGCTATATTTTCTCTCTGTAAATTTCTACTTCCAAGCCGATCCATCTTTCTCTCATCATAGTCAACACGCACACTCTCTCTGTCATGTTGTTTTCTGAGCCTCCAAGCCTTTTATATGTATTTAAGCAAAACACATCTTTCCCTTCTAGGATATGAGGTTCATTACTTGCACCCGAGTACTACCTCCAGTCCTTAATATAAGATCCAATGAACTAATTTGAGGAGATTAAAATAAATAAATAAATTACTTTAAATATTATATTATTTATTTATTTGATGCAATAGCATATAGTACATGATCTCTCTAAAATATTTATATGCATCATTAAATTATATATTAGTTTACAAGCCAAGAAAATTAATTTGGAGAAAAAACAATAAATATAATATTTTAAAGTAATTTATTTATTTATTTTTAATCTCCTCAAATTAGTCCATTGCATCCTATATTAAGGACTGGAGGTAGTACTCGGGTGCAATCAATAAACCTCATATTTTAGAAGAGAAAGATGTGTTTTGCTTAAATACATATAAAAGGCTTGGAGGCTCAGAAAACAACATGACAGAGAGAGTGTGCGTGTTGACTATGATGAGAAAAAGATGGATCAACTTGGAAGTAGAAATTTACAGAGAGAAAATATAACATTTGGTGAGACCAAAAAGAATAAAATTAATGGATGTTTATGAAGGTTGAAGAATTTTATTATTTTTTTTCTTTTACAAAGTTCATGTATATTTTTACACCCAAGTAAATTTCATGGTGCCTAATGCCCCTTGATGCAAACTTTGTTGTTAAAAATGCACCTTAAAACTGACTTTCTAGGCCCCTCTAACTGTAAACTGACGGACATTAACGGCATGGTACTAGATGCTCCCTTTTGACAACTTCATGTATATTTTTGCACCCAAATAAACTTTATGGTGCCCAGTGCTCTTTCGGGTATACTTTGTTGTTAAAATTGCACCTTAACCCTAAATTAAAAAAAAATTGTAAATACCTAATGCTCTTGAGTAAAAATTTTGAAGACAAATTTGCATCTTAGCAAAAATAATGTGGATGACATGGGGACATGTTAAGTCAGCATATTTGGCAACCTTATGGTTAAATTTAATTTGGATAATGGCTGGAATAAAATTGTTATGATTTGGAAATTTTTGTGATGACATTGAATCCAAAAAAAAAACTTTTAGATACTTAGTACTCCCGAGTGAAAATTTTCAGGATAAATTTGTACCTTAACCCTTCTTATTATTAATTTTTATATTAAAAATGTATCAAATATATGAAATTTTACTCTTATTAATTACCTCTTATCCACAGAGTTTTCAAAGCAAATTATGTAATTAACATGAAATTAAACAACAATAGAGCTGGAAAAAAAGACGATTTTTTTTTGAGGTTATGTATAGCTTTATAACTCTAAATGCTATTAATTTAGGGGCCATGCCATACGTACGTGTATAGCAACAACAAAATGTCATATGGAAGAGGACATCCGACATTGCTAATAACTAACAACTCAAACCAAGGCTGATGTTAGCAAGTTTTACACATCGTTTACTTTGTGACTGCAATAGTAAAAGAAATATGCATCAATGTCATTCACACTTAAATGAAAAAGCACATATGCATTATTACCATTAATAATGTTTTATAAACCATAAATATATCCATCACTTCACAGGTATTATAGCATTATAAGGGTATTACCAAATATGAGAGTCATGATTTTCATCGAGCTCCAATCACGGTAGTACTCATCTCATTAATTGAATTAACTCCTTCACTGATTGATGAATTTGAATCATCATAATTAGTTTTCTTGAAAAGAAATGCTGGTTGCTTTGGAGGGAGAAAAGTCGAGTCATTATCCAACATAGAAACAATTTCTGACATAGTAGGCCTATCTGTTGCATATTCTTGCACACATAAAAGCCCAATATGGATGCATTTGAGAACTTCATGTTCAGGGCATGTTTCACCTATTAATGATGGATCAACAATCTCCATAGCTCTGTTTTCTCTCCATAGGTTCCAAATCTGAATTAATTGAATTCATTAAATAGTTCGAGTATTGTTAAAGAGCAAATTAAAATCAGGTTGTTCATTATGATATATACTTACATGTCCAACCAAAGTAGAACTAACATCATCATAATGACCACTATTCTTTCTGCTTGTAACAATCTCCAAAAGTAAAACTCCAAAGCTATATGTATCTGACTTTATTGAAAAAATTCCTTCCATTGCATATTCAGGTGACATATAACCACTGCAAAATATTAATGAGATTTGTCAATGATCATTTCAACTAGAGATACATTATTTTAGGCATCGAATTGTTTTGTTGCTATTTCTAACATATCATGTCATATGAATATGTTGACTTTAAATGGGCCGGGATGAATCACAAACCTATCTAGCTCATCTTGAAATGTTAGTTGACTAAGCAAATTGGATTTGTATAGCATCAAAATTTACATTATTTAGATATAGATATTGAATATATGTAGAAAATCATTCCCAATGAAATACTTAATAGTTTGGATTTTCCTAGTATTTTTTGAACTTGGGGAAACTAGGAATGTCTAAGTGTAATGCAATGCTAGGAAACTACAGTTACACAAGCTATATAGCTGAGTACTTACTAAGTTCCAACAATACGGTTTGTGTTTGCTTCAATTTGGTCTCCACCAAATATTCTTGCCGTACCAAAATCTGCGATTTTTGGATTCATTGTAGGATCTAACAAGACATTGCTGGCCTTTAAGTCTCTATGAATTATTCTTAATCTTGAATCTTGATGAAGGTATAAAATTCCTCTTGAAACTCCACAAATGATGTCAAATCTTTTCCTCCAATCTAATTGTAATTTTCTCACTTGATCTAAATAAAGATGGTAAACTATTAAAAGTGAAGAACATTGCTTGATCGATTCTCTCATTTTCCACAAATGAAAAATTTGACCATAACTTGTATATGTAGAAAAATCAAATGATAATTAAGAAGACATACCAAATATGAAAGAGTCCAAGCTTTTATTTGGCAGATATTCATATATCAATATCTTCTCTTCTTCATCTACGCAACAACCTAACATCCTTACAAGATTTCTATGTTGGAGCTTTGCAATTGAAGTAACCTCATTCCTGAATTCTTCAATGCCTTGTCCAGAATAATATGATAGCCTCTTAACTGCTATTTCCATTCCATCTTTAAGTAGACCCTGATGTCAAAATTCATAGTTAATTCATTGATGTATAATTTTATCTTTGTTGTATGAAACCATTGCAAGAAATAACAAGCTAATGGCATTGAAAACAATTTTAATTCATTTTATGAAATTTCAGACCAGTTAAACATAGAACATCTACCTTATATACGGAACCAAAACCACCTTTTCCAAGCATGTTAGCGTCTGAGAAATTGTTTGTTGCCTCGACTATGTCCTTTAGATCAAACAGAGTTAAGCCAGAATTGTCTTCTCCATTAAAAAAATATTCTTTGTGCATTCTTTTTGCTGTGTTAAATAAAAATTGGAAAAATATAAGAGATGAGTTGTCGCACGGCCAATTAGTCACTGTACATGGAAAGACAAACCTTCAAGTAAGTTTATGTATGTGCACTGTGTAGATTGTGTTAACTTAAGAACTTCACTTTGTGGGGAAAATGATATAAAGCTTACCTTGATTCTTGCTCTTCATTACAAACCAACACAAGAAAGAGATCACCAGGAACGTTATCAGGCAAATAGAAACGACTATGAGGGTCATCATCCCCTTCTTTCCAAGGGAACCATAATGCTTCCTTTCATATTTAGCTGCAAACAAGAATACCCCAAAGCGGAATTTAAGTTCAAATAAATCATATAAACATAAAATATTTTTTATTTCCATGAATTATCGTGATGTTTATGAGAGCTTATAATGTTAACTGTCAGCAGTAACGCCTGTCAACATTGTGTGTCTCCAAGACGTTATATGAGAACTTGTCAGATCTAGAAGACATCCCAGCTATGTGGTAAATATATTATCTCATAGAAGGAATGAGTTAAATGGATATACTTTTACTAGTGTTGGAAAAATGATACTTGCAATAAAACGCTCACAGGTTGATTGTATATATATAAAGATACATCTATGTATAGCTTTGGATAAAGATGCTTCTTTATTCTTGGTGTTTTGTGTGTGTGTGTGTGTGTTGATGACGATAGTATATATGTACATAGCAACTAGTAGTATTTTGAATTTGTTCCAAGCTATTTTAGTTTACCAAGTGCCTAACACTTTCAGCTTCAGGCTTGGGGACTCAGATTTACCTCCCTCTAATACCCTCTTATGTCTTTTATCCCAACTTTCCGAAGATTTTTTATTTTTTTAATTAGATTTTAATAAAATTAGTAACATATTGGTATCTTATGAGCAAAAATTGATGCAATTTTGAATTTTTTATGATTTTTATAAGAAAACTCTAAAATTATGCAATGTTGATCTGTTTTTAAAAAATTATAAAAAGATTCAAAACTATGCATTTTTGCCTATAAGAGATTAAAATGTCATTAATTTTATATAGAATCTAAGAATAAAAAAATAAAAAGAAAATATTTGGGAGGTGGAGACATTTACAAGGAACTAGAGGGAGGTATTAGAAGTCTCAAAGCCTTCGAAATACTTCTGGCTATTTATCTTCCCAATTTGTCCATCACATATAAGTTTTCTAAATTTGATCACTTGATTGCACATATAATCATTACCAATTTTGATATTTGGCTAACATAGCATGTTATAAAATGTTGTAAAGCAATACATATAGAAACATATGGGATATGTCATCACATTTCTTGACTGGTATGCAATATATTAGCATGCAATGAAATTACTGATATAATTTTAATTGGTGAGGGAAATAAGAAAGATAAAGCAGTATATAAGGGACAAAGTAAATTGGCAAAAAGGGGACTAATAAAAGATAAATTAATTAATGATGATGAGATATATATATATATATATATATAAGTGATTGGGATAAATTAACCCTATGTCCATATGGGAAAAAATTTGGCAGAAAACATTAGGGTGGGAAAACTCCCTTAAATAGTAAATATCTTTTTAACTATTTTTGGAAGTGTTTTCTAGGTTGTCTTTCCTCTATGTGTGTTTTTCACTTTTCCCTCCATTCAAATGTAGCCTAAAACTCTCAAAGTCGGAACAATATGATCGATTCTATTCATTCAAAAGTCCTCATATCACTAACCAATTGGGGAAAAAAATGTGAAACTATGCTTCGCTGTGTGACAATGATACTAAATACTTGGCCATGATTATATCTTAAGTGTAGCTGGCGAAAAAAAAAAAATCCTAAGTTGTCGGCACAAAAAAAAAAAAGTGTAAGGACGCAGATATGACCCTAATAAAATAAGTGAGATGGGGTTGATTGGGAAAACATGGTATGCATGGGGGACGCAGTGGTCCTAAGTCCCCCATAAACTTTTTCATAGATCCCATTTAATAATAAAATCATATTTCTAAGAGACAATATGGTAAATAGAAATAGGTAGATCTTTATTGTAATAAATTTTATAATTAAAATAAATAAAATATTACTCTCATTAACTAATTTCTTAAATTAAAAAAATTGATTAAAATTAATTAAATATGGAAAATGTTTCAGGGAAAATGGCATTTTTCAAAAATAAAAAATATTTTATTAAGTTTTGAAAATGGTCTTTTATTAAAAATAAATAAGACGATCACCATGAATTATACATATTACAAAAAACGTTAATAGTTATATTTAATATATAATATGTATAAACATTTTTAATCTTAATGTTAACTATTTATTTTATAATGATAGTCTAATAATTAATTTATATTTTGAAATGTTAAAAAAATATTGAAGATAATGGGGATGGGTGATTTTCTCTGTGCTCTTGACAGCAAAAACACAAAAGAAGTGAGAGTAGAGAATGTACCCAATTCATCTGCATCCACACGCACGTACAAATCCTGCCCTGCATTTTCGAATGTTCTGATGTCTTCCATATCAGAATGCCACGTCAAGCACCCGGTCTGTTTGATGTCATCCGCAATTGTATATGCTGCACATGAACAATCCCTTAGGCACTTCTCCTCGCACCCTTTCAAGCTCATACTCTCCCACGTATCAATACGTGCCTTTGATGTATCTGGCACCTTGACACGTGCCACTTTTACAAAACCCTCCCCACTGTGACACGCGGATGCATTCTTCTTTCTCTCACACCCATTCGACCAATTTCTCATATTCCACTCTTGCGGATTTGTGGGTTCGGATCCAGGCAAGCACACACACTCGAACTTTTTCTCATTATACGGGTCACACTTACTATTTGACCCACATTGATGATAGTAGTCACATTGCCCTCTTGGATCATCCCATATTTGGAGCCACCTATTCTCGTTAACTTGCCAAATGGTTCGTGTCAAATGACCAGTGTTGTGAAGCACAAATTTTAAGAAGATTGAAGGGTCCATGATTTGGGTCACGGTGCTAACTTCATTGGCATTGTCAACGTGGGTGATGTTGAAGATAAAGTTGAGAGTCATATGTGGCACGCCGCTCCATCTTTCACCTGTCCAAGACCCAACCCGCCAAAATGGAGCTCCATTTTTATAAACGAACATTTGAGGATAACCAGTTGGGTCGATCGTCATAGTCATGTTCCCGAATCCTGGGTCGTCGGGAGATTTCCACGACGTAAGGGACCAATGAAAACCAGTTTTCCGGTTCACCCCAATTTTCATGAACGGCAGCACTGTGTCGCTAGGATAGTCAAAACTCTGCCATATAACCCTTGGTTTTGCTTCATTTTTGGTTAAAACCAAGTTTCCTGTGTCTTGAAGCATAGCAAAGGTGTGACTAAAAGATGTGGTCAAAACGTTAGAAGACCATATGAGGTTACTTCTGTTGAAATCGGTATTATTGGAAACCAAAACGATGTTTCCATGGGCATCAATCGATAAAACTGCAGAAGTATCATTAAGAGGAGTCTCTCTATTAGCAACCCACACAACGGCTGGTTTGGAGGATCTATTATACCATATTCCAACGTAGCGTTTTCTTGAATAGTTGCTGGGCGTGAAGAAACCAAGGGCAAAGGTTCCTCCATCTGAGACCAAAACATCGCCGTCTTTGAGGGGTTGGTTCGGAGTTATTCTATGAAAGGAGTGACAAGAAGATTGAAGTACAAAGAGAAGGAAGAATGGAATGTTTGCTAGAATAAAGTCTTTCGCGGAATAGAGCTTCATGGTGGTAACGAAGCAAGGGATAAAGCTGGGGTATAGCTGAGTTAAAGGGGCACAGACCTCTAAATATGCCAGAGATATTGGTTAGGTGAGTCGTCCAAAACGCATAGGACTGAAATTAAGCTCCTTTTGTTTGTGCAGCGTTGTCCTGTTGAACAACGTTAGTTTGCGGGTCCAGATTGTTAAGGAGTCACGCAGGGTATGTAACTAAGACTACTTTGCGCGTGTGGTAAGGCTGTGTTTTTTCCCCTAAGTAAATGAAAATTATACGACTTTCTTAGCAATGCAGGAATTAGACCTATTTTATTCGTCTTTAGACAAATCAAGATTAAAAAAAAAAATCTAACACGCGGTTTGACCCATTTTGCGGGGAGACTTCTACAATTTAATGCGATGGCCGTCATGGAGAAAATGATGGCTACATTGAAATGGATAGGTATGGAAATGTGAAGACTTTTCTGGTATTGATGTGGCCAAAACTAAAGTCGTTGGTCTTTATTCTTCCTCACGGGACTTTTGGTATTGCTGTTGAGGTCTGAATAAAATTCCAGAAAAATATCTTTGCACTGTTTGGGAAAAATATCTAGAGCTAGGTGAACATATATATCCATTATTTTACCATATACACATATACAAAGAGTAAGAAATAACATTAGTCACTTGGAATTTAATTATAATTTTTGGAACTTAATTGGTATTTTTTTATTAGATACTTATTTATAGTTTCTGATTTTTTCTTGTAATTGTCCAATTGATTAACGTTAAAAATAATGCATGTTTAACAGTGGCAAGATTGCATCCTTTTCAATATTTAGAATTAAAATGGTGCACATAAAACTATGAGTGTTCACCTAAACGCCTTAGATATTTTTCTCAAAACAGTGCAAAGATATCTTTCCAAAAACCAACGACTTTTACTTTTGGCAAGATGAAGACCAAAAGACTTGAACAATTCCGCGCATTTATCGCTTCTCCATTACGATTGCGTCCGTCATCTTTTCCCTTCATGAGAGAGGTGGTAGGTAAGAATCGCTTAAGCTGCAAGTATACTTATGAATCTTTATTAAATGTGCATTTAGTGCCATAATAAATTTTGGTTGCAAATGCACAAAAAAATTTTGTAACGTTGACTATTTGTTTAATTTGAGATGATGAAGTAAATTCTGATGTGATTTAGAAGTTTTGATGAAAAAGAGTAAAAATAAAAGTATACCTATAAACTTTTTTCAAATGCGCGTCTAATATTATAAACAAATCTTGTATGTAAAAATACATATGATCATTTTAAAAGAACCCTAAAATACCACAGGTATTTAATTAATCAAATTTGACTCTCTAAATCAAACCTTTGACAAAGTAAGACAAAGTTACTTTATTAGTAAAAAAACAAAAAAAAACACTCTCCATTAATAACTTATATATAGTATAAAAGACTAAAAAGCCAATGCTCTTCAAAAGATTTCAATATATATACAAAGCTTTTTTTTTTTTTTGTAATGTTTGTATTTGTTGCACAAAAAAGCTTTTTGAGTTCCCCGTAAAAAAAGATTTTTTGTAACCAAAAGCTTTCAATGCTACCTTTTTTGAATCCTTTTTTTTTTTTAATACAGAAGTACATTTTTTGGAGTTGTCATTCCATAATTAGATTAGTTTGTTTATTGCCATAATTAGATGTAAAAGACATCTATTGTTGAAAATGAATTATTCTTTAATTAGATTAAACATATATTTATCTTATCTCTTTGTTTTTTTAAATTATACCCTTCTACTCCTTTTCACAAAAGAATGTGGATATGTACAAATAACAGTCTTTTTTCCCCTCAATCATTTATGTGATTTCTAAAAGGAAAAGAAAAAAAAAAAAGCTATCCTTTTCTATTTATATGACATATAGTTCTATTTTGGTCATATTGGATTTATAAATGGAATAAAATACATAATAAAAAAAAGTTTAAGAACCCAACCCTCATTTTTATACCCCTTACTTGGTGTTTAAAAGATACATGATTTTAAAGGGAGAATTTCGTTAAAGGACCACTGTAGCAATTGAATTTCATTTCACCCCTAAATAATTCTGAAACCTCATTGGAGTCTTTTAGGGCCAAAATAAAATTAACTTATATAGTAAAAAGACCTTACTGCCCAAAATAAACCTAGATTGAAGATCACTCTCTCATCCAGCTCTACTGTGTCTTTCGCCTTCCATCTTCGCCGCCACTACTGAAGCTGTATTGGATCTTTGTTTTCCTAATCTTCTCAGTCTATCTCTATTACCCATGACTGCTTTGTAGTGCTTCTATTACTCGATCTTTCTCTTTTACGCATCTTCAAGGTGTGGAGAATTTCTAGAGCTCCAAGAAATTTGTGTAGCTTTGGCCATTCATTTGGGAAAAAGTTTGTTGCTCATGCTATTAAGTTGCGCAACAACTGTAGAGCCCCTCTTCAAGTTTCTCTAGCGACTTTCTCATTCCCTTCACCACTACCTTACCCCTATTCTCACCCTCCATCATGATTCTTTAGTTTTTTGGGAGGGACTATTCATAATTTGGAATACGTAGATTTGCAACAGGGATACATAGATTAACAAGAGAAACATGTCCATTTGTAAGGGGACTAATTTAATTCAAGAAGTTGCACATGATAATTTGAAAGTTTGGAAGCTACTATTTGTAGCTAAAATATAATATGCCAATTTACAACAAGAATATGTAACTTACCAAGCAAAACACATCCATTTACAAGTGGACTAACTTGTTCAAACATTTATATAGTTGCTAGGTAATTTTAATGCAGTACTTGGGATAGTTATAACCAACCATCATGAAAATTTTCATCTATTCATAGCGTTATACAAAATCATCTATCTTGCATGCATAAGTATGAGTTCAAATATTACAGTTCAATTTATTAAAAAAATGACATTCTATCAACAATCTCATCAAAAAATTTACAACTAAAATTTATGAATTTACAACAAAAATAAGAGCTTTCACGACACAAAATTGCCATTTATCTATTACCAAAAAAAAATCACCATTTAAATAGAATTCATAAATTTACAATACAAATAAGGATTTTCACAACACAAAATCACTGTTTTTTAGACAGCACATTGTATATTCATTATTTATAGCACAAGAAATTGAAGAACCATAATGGAGGCTGAGAGCAGGAGCGAGGTAGTAGTGAAGGAAATGACAAAGTCGCTAGAAAAACTTGAAGAGGGGCTCCACAGTTGTTGCGCAACTTAATGGCATGAGCAACAAACTTTTTTTCAAAGTGAGTGGTCGAAACAACACAAATTTCTTGGAGCTCTAGAAATTCTCCACACCTTGAAGACGTGTAAAAGAGAAAGATCGAGTAACAGGAGCACCATAAAGCAGTCATGAGTGATAGTGATAGACTGAGAAGATTAGAAACATGATGACCTAGTACAGTTTCAGTAGTGGCAGCGAAGACAAAAGACAAAAAAACAACAGAGCTAGATGAGAGAGTAAGCTTCAATCTGGGTTTATTAGGGGTATCAAGGTCTTTTTACTGCATAAGTTAATTTCATTTTGGCCCTAAAAGACTGTAGTGAGGTTTTAGAATTATTTGGGGGTGGGATGAAATTAAATTGCCACAGTGGTCCTTTAATAAAATTCTTCCATTTAAAAAATCAAGTATCTTAATTCCTTTTTTTTAATCTTTTTTTTATCTAAAGTAAACTATTAAATATCATAACCTTTTTTACAAACTTTTTTCCAAAGACATATTTCTTTTTATGGAAAATAAAAAAAATTAGTGCTAAAACAGGTTAATGACTCAGAATCAAAAATTGAAAAAAAAAATACTTACATTTTGAATCAGATGGATTGTTTTCTATGATCCATATCAAAATAAATTAATATTTTTTAGTTTTGGTGAAATAATTTATCCCCACTTTTTGGATATAAATTATTATATAATAATAATTTAAAATTTTAATTTCTTAATATTATTAATCTTTTCATATTCTATTCTATTAATAAAAAAGTTGATTTTTCACTAGTAATTTGGTCATAACGTTTCGTCATAGAGAATTTAAGCTAAAGCTCTCCACAAAACTTACTCTTTCATTTCATCTATTTACCTCTCTTTTTTTAAAGAAGAATAATGCTACTCTCTTAGTTACTCCTATCAATCTCTCTAATTACCCGTTGATAAAGTCTAGAGTGAAGCTGAGAAAGTAGTACTATTCGTCATACAATAAGAGGGATTGAGAGAGATGAAATGAAAGGGTGAGTGCTATGGAGAGTTTCATCTTGTCCTCTTCTCTCTGAGGGAAACTGAAATGCAATTGTTTGTAGGGAGGAGGGAGTTACACTTAAAGGAAGAAGGTTGAAATTCTCACTTAGCATCTATCTTATTGGTCAAAAGTTTGAATCATAGGTATTTTTGGAATGATCATAAGTCTTTTTGCATTCAAAGTTTCTTTGTGGTGCCAGGCACGCATTTAGAAAAGTCTCATTAGTATATTTACATATTCATTCTTTTTCATTAGACCATCTAAGTCACATCAATATCCACTTCATCATCTCTAGTTAAACAAATTATCAATGTTATAATGGTTAACTTTCATGACATTTTTGTAACATTTTGAAATCTTTATGTGTATTCTCACAAGTACATAAAAAAGAGAATTGAACAACTTAATTGTACAAATGGAGGCTATAGCTAGGGAATAAATACAAAAATCCCTTTAATTTGGTCATAATAATGTATATGTCATTCATTATAAGGTGGAAAGTGAAAAGTCTCATTTTTTGATGTTATGATCATTTACATAATTATAATATTTATAACATTCTCTCTTGGATATCCATAGATAAATGATATGCCTTATTAAAACCTTACTAGAAAAAACTTAATGGGACAACAACATAGTGAAGGAAAAAGAGTAAACAGTATATATTAAAGCTACCTCATTAAAAACATTACCAGGCGATCAGACTGGGATGTCGCCTTCCGGGTCATCAAAATGATTGCACCAAATAATGTAGTATAGGGCACAACCTATCATTCTTCTCGAGGAGCGCTTTTATTGGAAAACCTAGATTAAATTGGTTATAAAAAACATATTGATTTAGGTTAAAAAAAGAGTTTTAATTATCACCTCTTAAAATATTGTTAAAAACCACTTAGAGTGCAATTAAATGGATGATGTAAATGTCCTTAATGATTGTCAATCAACAACCATAGAAACCAAGCAAGAAAAATTAATTATCAATAATCATTGACAATCAACTAACCAATAAGGAATCAAACTGATATATATAGATAATCCAACATAAAATAGCATCCAATTTAATTACAGTAATCTAATCACAAGATTTACCAATCAGTAATCAAGTCTTACATAACAGTAGAAATTCCTAAATCTAGAAATGTCTAACACATGTTTAACCATAGAATTAGACTAAGAAAACTTTCCCAATGTGTCCATGAGCCCAAGCTTCATCCTCCATCACTAAGAGACTAAAGATTTAGCCTCTCATAGATTTAAACTTGCCATAATCACTCTAAGAGTGTTCAACCATAAGGAATGCTAATAAAAGGGTTGAAAAAGTCGAGAAGAAGATGCTGGAAGTGATTTAATCAGTGTAGAAATGCAAAAAAATGTGGAGAAATGAAGAAAAATAAAATATTGAGGTGTGGGATGAATAAAGGCTTAAGAGAGAATGGTTAAGACTTCTATCCTTGCAAATCTTCAAAATGAGCTCCTCTGGTTCGTGGCTGCTGTTTTCCTTAAGTCTGGATATAGAATGACCTATTCCAAAATGCATAGCCTTACTAAAACGCGTTCAGGTCGCAACTTAGGAAAGCTATATTGTGACCTAGGAACAAAGAGGCACTTCCAGTCTTGACCTACGTCCAAAACATGTAGCTTCACTAGAAAAGCATCCAAGTTGCAACTTGAGAAGTCCATGTCATGATCTAGGGACACAGAGACACTTCTAATCTTGCATTGTGGCTCTTATGAAGTTTTGGCTCCTTTAATGCTTCATCTTGGGTCTTTAAACCTCCTCCAAATAAGTAAAAACAAAAACAAAGAGCTTTGTAAAGATTAAACAAATTAAAGATCAAGGCATTTACAGTCTGGACGAGATAATTGACCCTTTTTTACCTTTAAATCAGCAAAATATGATGTACAAATAGACATAATCAAAAGGATATAAATGCATGCAAAATGAAGGCAAAAGTGTTGCAAAATACCAAAAACACTTAAGAAAACCATGCAAAGATTGGGTTCTATCACTCCCCCATACTTGAACCTTTATACTCTTGGACAAAGACTTGAATCATTCCAAAGAAACTACAAGCACAATTGAGGAAATCAATATGCTCAAAAATGATCTCAAGAACTGATTAATCAACATCTTTTAAGAAAACAAAAATGATGACATAAACAATGCCAAGTAATCAAATACAAGGTGCAATTGACTCTAAATGCTTGAACACCAGAGATTTGCTCAAGGGTATAAGTGTTTAACTCACTCATCTCTCCTCGTTAGGGTTCTTTTCACTCAAAATTCAAGTAGAAAATACCCTACCATAAGCTTGTAATAGCTCTAAAATCTCTATTACCATTGAACATTCATGTAAAGAATCAAGGGGGCTTTGAAGGTTGTAGCGATAGAAAGGCTAGATGGAATGGAAATATGGTGAAATAGAGTATCGAGGACTAAAGTGATAGGAGTCAAATGTTATCAATTCTTAGACAAAGAAGTTCAGATCTTAACCTTCTACCACTAAGAGAATATTTTATTCAACTTTATTCTATTGCTATAGCTTATATGTATGTCTATATGTATTATATATATATATATATATCTTCTTCTTCTTCTTCTTCTTCTTCTTTTTCGAATCACTTTTCTTTTTTCTTTTTTACTCCCTTTTTTTTCCTTTTTTTAATGTACAACAAATATCCCCAACAAAAACCCATAAAGGCTAGAAAATCTCAATTAACAAGATAAAATTAACTCAATTAAAATTGTAGTTCAAACACTTGAAGTGGTAAATGAAATGAAAGAAACAAAGGATCAAAAAGGATAAATAATGGACAGATGTTTGTGGATTGTGTTTGGCTTAAAAGGTGTAGAAAGGAATGCCTCTATCATGTTTAAAATCATAAGTGCACAAGCGATGTTGACTAAGAGCTAAAACAAGTTCTAGAGAATGCAAACCACATGAATAACACTCAATATAGGAATTAAGGCTCAAGAATATCCTTCTAATAAGGGTTTGTATCTCAACTGCTCATACACAAAGTTTCAATCAACATGAACTATTCACAAGGCATTAAGACACTATCACGAACATACATGGATACCAAAAGCACCCATAAAATCTTTGATAAATCATTTTCAAAACTCATAATTCTTAAAAGCTCAAGGATGGGCATGGTTTTTGAGAAAACTGTTTGATACAATGAGGTTGAATTAAAAAGGCAATGATTTTTCTTGAAAAAGATGCAAAGGTAGCTTGAAAAGGGTTCTTCTATATAGCATTGCATAAAGCAAAGAAAAGGGACATGGATGTATAGAAATAGGGTCCAAGTCACAACTTGGGACAATAAGGTCGAGACCTCGAATCATAAAGAGCACTAAGTCTGGTTGAGGGTTCTAGTCGCGACTTGAAATAGTGAGGTCATGGCTTGAAGACAAGAGAGTCTTCCCCTGTCAAAAATCCATTTCATGTCATGACTTGAAACAGTGAGGTCACGACTTGGCTTCACAGAAAGCTACCAAAACGAAAAATTTCAAAGCCTAATATATTTTGACATGCACAACCCTTTCAACAAGAAGCAAAATAGTCAAAATTGATCCAATTCACAGTAATTAATCACCTAAAACCAATTCACAAACTAAAGATTGATGATGAAAGATTGGACTTCAAAAAATTTAGCTAAATTTTTTTCCACAAGATGAAGCAAATATTGGAGCAAATGTAGTAAGCATCAAATAAACCCCTCCCCCACACTTGAACTGGAAGTGTCCTCATTGTCAATGGGAAAGGGTAAAAAGAACAGTAGCAACCAAAAGAAACCAAGAATAAAACACATCTTATTCATTAATGGAAGGTCTCAGCACATCTAAAGAGTAAATTTAAATATAGAGTGTTTAGCAAAAGAAACAGAAACACAAAAAAAACAAAGAAACAAAAGACTCTCAACATCTTCTCTCTAAACAATAGACACAGACAAAAAGACACTCAATCTTCCTCCTCCCTTCTTTCCTCTTTTGCTTCATCAGCTTCCCCTCCCCTCTCTACAGGAGCAGCTATGGCACTAGAAGGTTGCCCTGGACCCTCATGAAAATAGCTTGTGGTAGGAATGGAGCTTTACCAAAAAGCTTGTTCATAACCCTGAGGAAAAGTGACATTGAGAGCTTTGGCTATCTCCAACATTAAAGGATCTATAAACCTTTGCCTCCTATACTCATTAGCCATAGAAATAACCCTTTGCTCCAGAAGTTGCTCACTAACTGTAACACCTTAAGTTTATACCAAATAACTTGCCTTGCAGAAGCATTTGGAATCTCTTTTGAAGACTACAAGTTATGAAAAATCAAGTTTAAAAATTTTCTTTTGTGGATTACTATTCATTGTAACCCAAAAATACTTCGAAAATTCATAACTAATTGTAAAAAGATCAAAATCGAGTGATTCCAAGTTCTATGGAAAGCTCTTTAGATAAAATTTTGAGAGAAAATAGTTTCTAGACTAATTGCCTTAAAATTTGAGCCCAATTTTTCTTGAAAAAGTTACTGTTCATATGGTCATTTTTCCATTTTCCACTTATTTTAGCCCAACTTTGGAAAGGCATAACTTCTTGTGTGGTTATCAGATTCAGGTAAACCAACTTTCATCTTAAAGAGAAAAATCCCATCTATTTGTTCACTGAATCTCATATCTATACTCACTCAATTGCTTAATTTGACTTTGGTCAAAATTTAGGTCCATAATATTGACTTTTATCCCCCGTGGAAGGATAAATTGTCTTACTTGACCAATTACTTGCATACTAATTCTCCTACCATATAATCATGCATTTTGGACAACACTAGCATGCTTTCACATATTAACACATAAGCTAGCATATATCCATAACTTAAAACCTTAAAGCATACTCTTAATTACATTTATTCAACATAAGGTTTTTCTTCATTCTTCTTCTTCTCCTTATTCTTAAAGCAAACTTAACTCTCCACTATAGCTACTTCTTTTCCTTTGCTTTTGGAGGTTGAAGGCCCCAGGGTTTGTTAAGTATGGGGGTAAGATTCTTGGGGAATCTTAGTAGCACATTGCATACATTATTATGGTTACACATCACAATGTAATTCAAGCTACATGCATACATACATACTTGAGTATTATGTACTTGCCATGGAAAAACATAACATCATAACATAACATATCATCTCAACCTTGCATAAACCAAGGTATACATGCATGGAGGCATCATGGCATTACATCATAACACATAGCAATGAACATACAATGTATAGTAACTCTAACAAGCAATGGAATGCAAAACCTACCTTTTTGGCTTTCCTTCCTCTTGAACTCTTTTCTCCTAACTAGATCTTTGCCCCTTTGTTGTGTATAGCCTATTAGGAAACCAATGACACAACATTAAGCATTACTTCAACTCTATAACTTAACATAACCCTTTAAACTCTTTTTTTCTTGACTTTTAGGGTTTATTTTTCTAGCTTTGATTCTTGAACTTTCTTAGGCCTTTCCCACATAATTTTCCATATAGAATCCATTTATCATATTATTTTTATGAAAATCCAATCCCTTCCCATTGAACTTGACTTGGCTGAACCATAGGGATAAATAGGTTCAAAATTTTCATTTCAATTTTTAATGCTTCCAACATCCCTTTATTGGTATATACCTACACTAAATCATCTCTTAAACTGATTGGAAGCATCAAATTGAATTGAAACATCTTCCCTCCTACATTTCTCAATTTGGCCGAACCATATATATAATTATAGGGAAAAGGATTCTCAAC